GGAGAAGACGGAGCTGAACACGCACAATATCGACACCGTCAAGTACGTCGAGAAGAAGCTGATCAACAAGGGCGTCCAGCGACAGGAGCGCCACCCCGCCGACGGCATCGGCATCGGGAGGCCGCCGCCGAAGTCCGGCCACGGCGGGAAGTTCACCTGGGAGGGCCCCGCCAACGAGGCCGAGAGCCACCTGATGGCGGCGCCGGCGGCCATCGACGAGGGGGATCCCAACTACGTGGATGAGGAAGAAGAGAAGGCGTCGTCGGAGTTGGTTGTTGGAGAGGTTGAAGTGGCTAAGGCTGCTGAGGAACACGAAGGGGTTGCAAGAATTGACGTTGACCCTCGATTGCAAGTCAACTAACCAAGCATGCATGCTCTCGTCTATCACTTTCATTTCCTATGTTAATCTTCGGAGCTATGGGTTTTTTCTTCTACGAAATGTAAATTTCTATTTTGTCATACTAGATCAAACTACTGAGTCACTTGTAATACTTGTTTTCCTTTCAAAATAAATTAATCTTGTCTTCTATCTCATTTTTAATTCCATAAACAATCTCCAAAATATTACTAGTGTATTAAATATTAATTTATTTCAGATTTAAGAATTTTTCTTAGATTTTTTTAAGATTTCCATTTGGTTCCATAATTAATAGATACAATTTATGAAAATATAAAATTTTGGATCATGACTTAAGTATTATATACACTAGGTTTTTCTTGCTTTCTAATTATCGGATACAATTTATTGATATATATATATTTTTGTATAATCACTTAAATAAGAAAATATTCGATCACTATTTTTTTTTTTTACTTATTTAATCTCAATCGTTGCTTAAATTGGAATTGCAATAAATTCACTTGTGTTCTAATTATTAAATACTAATTTATGATTTACACAGTGTATGCAGCCTTTTAAACCTAAGGACTAATATATTTTGATGTTGATAAAATTATCTATATAGGACTAATATATACTTAAAATAGATAATTAAAAATTAATATTTGGTTAAAGATTAATGTGTTGATTGATGTAATTTTACCTGATTAAATACTACATTAATTAAGGTATTCAGAAATTGATAATCAATAAATAATCTATATTATTAATTAAAAATAAATATGTAATTAAATATTAATAATAATTATTAAAAATTAATATGTAATTAAATAATATTACGTATATTCATTGGGTGTAATTTTTGCCATTAGATATTTATTTATGAGATTAATATTTTGATAGGTTAACTTTAATCTAATCAGATTTCTAATATCTTGGTAACTTAATTTTGTTAACATAAAATTCAATAATAATTGAAAAAATTCGACGCCAATATAAAAATTTAAGTATTATATAATTTACATTAAAAATTAAACAAACATATGCTTACTTTAAAATAAATATATTTAAAATTATGTATCTTTACTATGCATAAGATAAATATTATCCAACATAAATATTAAATTACACATCAAATTAGCTATATATTCTAATACGAGAATAAACTTAACCCTCTATATAACATTAAATTAAGTTAAGGCGTTCGAACACATCTTCAAAATACAGATGAAATTTTTAAATTTTAACCCACATTATGCCGTTTTATTATACAGAATTAAACATCTTAAATACAAATCTATTGTTAGATTGGATCGAGAGTCGTGAACACCTACACATTTAACTAAAATGCTTTTACTATTTACAAAATGTTTTTCGTGGAAAAATATGATTTTAATCATAACAAATGATAATATAATACAAAGTAAACATTGATATTAAGAAATAAGTAAAAAAAAAAAAAAAAACTTAATATATTAAAAAAAACATTAAATTTTTTTATTATATCGACTAAAATAAACGAAGTAAAACCAAAACAAGTGAATTTAACTTAAAATTGATGTAAATTGATTTTATTTTTCTTTACTATTTATTCATATTAAAAAATAGTTTTATTCTTTTTAATATTTTTAAAAAAAATAAAAATATACATTTACCAAAACAATATAAATAAAAGCTAATTATATAATATATAACAAAGAAATTAATCTTAAATAAAATCTTCCTAGAGAAATCTAAATATTATCCTAACAAGCAATAAACTCATGCGAAAGTATATTTAAAAGAAAGTTAACAAAATAATGTATTAATAACATTTATCAACATATTTCACCAACTAACCTAACCATCAACCATATAATAAAAGATCGTTAGAACTTCAAAATTTTAATATAAAAAAATACAAAATCTTTTTTTTTATTTTCGATATACAATTTCCTTTTATAAATAGAACATCCATGAAACGTAAAAAGTGTTCTATTAATCATATACTTTTATAAATACATTCTTTTCACAATATATAAAAAATATTTACAAACTTTATTTTTATAATATCCATTGAATGGAAATCAAAACCACGTAAGCGATTCAACAAGCTTACTTGCCTTTCACAGAGTTACAGACAACAGAAATTATAAAAAAAAATTACTTAAAACAATCGCGTCTCTATGTTTAAAAATAAAACTATTCAACATAATAAAGTACAAAGAACGCAAATCAGATAAAATCGTTAATACTGAAAATAATACTAAATACATATATAAAACCATTAAAAGGAAGATACTCATTTCATTCGCATAAACTAAATAAACGGTTTAAACTTTAAACCTTCAAAACAAAAAATTATAACAAACTGCAAAAAACATACATTAATATCTGAGAAATAAAGTAGGTAATACAAAAAAAAAAAAGAAAAAAAAAGTAGTCCAGTTCCAAATTATATATAATATAAATCATATCAATATCCACGCTTTTGGCAAAGAGACTGTTTCACTGTGGAGTAAAATTCCCAATCAGGATGACCAGATGTAATAGGAGCTTGACCAAAAGGATGATCCTTCAAATAGGACTGAACATCAGCCTCCTCAGCAACACGACTCAGAAACAAACATAGCTCCCCCTTTGGATCTACAAACACAATAACAAAATCTATCAAAAAAACATGAAGAAAATAAATTAAAAACTGAGAATCAAAAGAATGAATCATGTCACCTAATGCTCTGTCAGCATCATTATGGGGATCATATGACTCAGGAAAAATCCCTGTATTAGGCTGCCAGTTAGAGCAATTAAATTTGTTAAACATAAGTTCAAATCATAAAAACAAAATAAATGATAAATAACATGTACATACAGGATTTAAAAAAGCCTTGTAGGGATTGTCATCAATCAACAGAGTATTTGAAGCAGAAAATGGACCACCTTTCTTTACATCTTCAAATACTTTCCTTAACTCCTTGAAAAATATAGGCTTTCGAGCATTCCCCTTACATTTGAACCCAGAATTAGTACATTGATCTTGATCCTACACAAGTTTTTTATCAACCGATCAATTCAAAAATAAAGCAACACATATCATATAATCAATTATACAAAAATTGCTACTTGCTTACCCAAATAAATAACATCCTCTTTCTAGATGCACCAATGGCATAATTTAAGGCATCATCTATATTGTGTCTGTTTACATATAAAAATTGTATAATATTTAACACGGTTAAACAATGGAATTAAAGAAATAAATAAATTCCAAGAAGCATACTACTTACTCCATCGCCGAAGACCAAATACCCACTTCAAATCTCTCCAAGCAGAATTTCATGAATTCTTCACTAAATGGCCTCTTAAAAACTACGAATATCACAATAATTTTAAAAAGTATCACAAATTAATCAGTAAATATAAAACAAGTACATGCTCATCAAATGTATATACCTAGATAGCTTCTATATCTCCCATCAGCTTCACGAGACTCTGGAATTTCACTTTTTTTAGAAAGATGAACTCTGTGCAACAATAGCCCATTCAAGTTCATAACAAGCAATTTCTTTTTGGGCCCAAGATTCAGCTTTTCTAAATAAAGATCCAGTTCTGTTTCCGAGTCACTTGTTTCGTACTTAAACTCATCCTCAGAGTCACTAAACTTAACGCTATCGTAAATGGGTTTCTTGTTCTTTCCTGCCATACTCAGAAAAAATATTCAAGTGTTGATACTTGGTGAACCAAATATTAGTAGGTGATTTATATATAGCTAGCGGTGGAACTACTCTTCTATTCAATTGAATGGTGAATATTAAGCCCATTGAATTAATTAACATTGGAAATCTCAAACGTTACCCGTCTTATCAATATTATGAAGTGTTGTTTTTTGTGAAGAATTTGACTTAATTGTAAATTTGTAATATTAATTTAAGGAAATACATCCCTTGACTTTGGAGGGGGAAAGTTAGGGTAATTTTACACATTTAAATCATTAGATTTGTAATAGTAGATCAGATTGTGACACGTGTACATTTAAGTTAAAATATATTTTGTACACGTGTCACAATCTGATCTATTATTATAAATCTAACGATTGAGATGTGTTAAGTTACTATAACTTTGATATCTCAAAGTCAAAGGATCCGGATCCTTAATTTAATATTAAGAGAACTAGTAAGGTCGATCTAATAGTTACGAATTGAGAAGGATATATATATATAACTTCTACAAAACTTATGTGAAATGTGAGTAACACTACTTAAGTAATTACTTAGTGACATTGATTTTCGTGTAAAAAACAACATTATTTTTTTTACTACATATATTTAAAAATTAAAAATTATAATATCTTAAAACAAAATTATTTTTAAATTTTATTATTATTATTTTCCTACACGGATAACTAATGGTGTAGATGTATCACTCATGGTCTATAACAACATTTTCTATTAATTATGAATGACATGAAAAATTAACTAACATTATTTAATTTAAAAAATTAGATAATTAAATTAGTACTAAAAATTTTGAGAGATCAAAATAACGTTATAAAGATTAAAAGGGAATTTAAACAATAAAATACTACTAAATAAAACCGTCTTTCTTTCCAAAATAAATTGCAAATAAGTTGATATGTTTCTTTTCTTTATTTTTTTTTCGGTAAGAAATATTACAGTAAGACAATGATGATCTAACTTAAATATTAATGTACATGCTTTATGTTTACCAAAAAAAAGTGTAGGAGCTTTATATAGAGGTAGCGGTGGAAACAGGGCGTATCGTATTCCAATATTCTCCTATTAAATGATGAATATTTAACACATTCAATGTACCCCGTTGATATTGGAAATCTCAAATGTTACTCCTCTTAGCCTTATTATTACTCTTTAAAATACTATTCATGTATTCAAAGATGAGTTAAATTAAACCCGTCGTGTCTTCCAAAGAGTCCTTTAGTTGGAAATCTTAGAATACCAGGAGTTGCAACTACAAGCCTTTACCACTTCCTATTGAAAATTAGCCCTTCTCCTTTAATTTGAAATTCATATATATTAGAGTAACTTCAATGGGAGTTACTTGTCTCATGAAGTAACTCAAGTCCCGGTTTCTTGTCATTGAAGGATTCTGACGTGGTAACATGAGTTGCTTGAAGAAGAAAGAAAGTTTCTTCCTCAAATAACCGTTCCTTACCAGATTTTAAGCAGATCTTATTGAACATATTTGGGAACGTTTCAAAATAATAATGATGAAAAATTAAGGTTAAAAACTTATTTTGGTCCCTTATAATAATTATTTGTTTCAATTTAGTCCCACTTTTATTTTCGGTTTCAATTTGGTCCCAAACTAATTAATTGGTTTCAATTAAGTCCCTAATAAATTAATTGGTTTCAATGTGGGACTTTCGTCCAAATTTCTTTATAATTGTTGGCCACGTGGATGCCATATAGATGCATAGGTGGATGCCATGTGAATGACACGTGGATGCCAATTTTTTTGAAAATACCTGGAACCAGAATGGTCCGTTCTGAAACCAGAACGGGTCATAAGTTCTGAATGCACTATTGGTGTGTTAATTTTGCATCTGAAACGGGCCGTTCCAGATGCAAAATTAACACACCAAAAGTATATCAGAATGGGCCGTTCTGGATTCAGAACGGTCCGTTCCAAAACTGAGAATAGAATATTATTTATTAATTTTATTAAAAAATATAATTATTTTGAAAAATATTTTTTTATGGTAAAAATTTTAAAATTACTTATTTTCATAAAATATAATTATCT